ATCACCCACTCAGATGAATTCTCGGACTGTCCCAACATACCCAGGTTTTGACCCCTCTAAGGATCTCACTGATTGGCATATCAAAGACAGCCCAATCCGACAYVTAGTGYARTAHYATAATCGAGTCTAGGGGTCAGGTGTAACATTCCAGTTTTGCCCATCTATCTCCAAGGTCCAGGGCAATACTGGAATTCTGGTCCAGTTTAGGGTTTCAAGAAAACCCACACTGCATGCACCTCAGGTCTCACCCTGGTAGCTGAGACAAGCCACCCCAACCAACTTGGTGGCACATTAGTGTCAGCCTTGGCAGGATAAATCTCCCCAGATCTATCCAACGGTTGTAAAGATTCTAAACTAACACAAGTCTCATATGTGTCCAGTTTAAGGGTATTACACTGAAACACACCACAATGACATGAATCAATTATGTACTTTATTCATTTACAATAAATGTCAAAAAGGTATATCAATGTGATTGGAGCTAAAGGGCATAATTGTCTAACAACCTTAATTTTTATTAATTTAGAATGTGTATATTCTATAAGGCCTATGTCAGACATGTCATGGGGTTTTAGGCTGAAATTTATTCCATTAACAAAGGACATTGGGACAAACCAGGGGGCTCATTTTAAGTCCGAAAGCAAGTTTCCATATGGTATGAATTGAAACAATTGCTATTTAGTGAATGGATAAATTGGCATAATCATCTAGTAAAATAAACCAAAATTTGAATATAACCAAAATAGTTGGGATTTGGGAACTTGGAATAAGTTTGAGTCAAGTTGAATTCACAGCTGAACTTTGCTCCTCTTTGCATTGTACACCTCATGATTTTGGTGGGTGGGAGGATGTCATATGATTCCCGTTCCTTTTTATTTTATATAAGACCACCATTAATTTGTTACGGATCTTCACTATTTACAGAAGAGAATGTATAAAAGATGAACAAATTAAATATATAATAATTGCATTTATATTATAAGAGGGGGGGGGGGGTCATGTTTTATCACTACATGCTATTCCCTGTTCCAATTAAAATAAGAACAAAGTTCCTAAAGCTTGTATTTCTTGGACTATTAATATTTTAAGGACTTGTGGAAATTGTTCTACTAGAATATCAAGATGCCTTGATAGGGGTTGTGCTATAGATTTGTCAATGGTGTTAAGGGAGGGGTTAGATCTGAAAATAAGGGAGGAAATTGTTTCAGATTTGGAATGGGTTTAATGGAAGGTTCAGAAAGATGCTTTTTTGGTTGAAACATTTAGATCTGATGTTAGAGAGATTTCAGATTATAATGCAAGCTTAAGAGAGAGAATTAGAGGGGAAGTTTAGAATTGGTAGAAAAGAGAGAAGAAGAGAGAAAAAAAGGAAGATCATATCTCTCAGTACCGCAATCAAATCACTTCAAATTTGTTTCAAAACCCAACCTGTATCTTTGGTGAAGCCTTACAATAGATTTATAAAGTTCTAGGGTAAGCCAGGCCTAAGCTAACAAATTCAAATCCAAAATGATGAAGAAAAAGGTTCCCTAAAAGTACTTAACATGAAAGAAACTTCTAATCTCACACAAACTCTTTAAAGCAAGTAAGAAACATATCCAAATTTATTTCAAAGAAACCTGATTACCAAAAACAATAAATCACAGTTTTACCATAACTAGAGTAATTATGAGCATTAGTCTACATAATAAGTAAAAAAGTTATTATAAATAATAATATTGATTTTTACCAAGTAATAAAACTTATTGTAACTTGTATCTATGACTATCTGACAACACCTAATGGACTCTCCTTTAGTGGATGGATATGTGGGCTCCAACAATTACTGTAGGTCAACTTTCTATATTCTTCCCAAAGTTTGAATTTCTTTTTCCTTGATTTCTCTTCAATTTCAGCTGTTGCATTACTTAATTGTTACATAGTGATTGTTTTCACCACTGGAGGAAAAAGAAGAGAAAGGAAAAACTGTTTAGCAACCTTGGTTCTTGATCTCTCATTGTCATCTGTATATATATATATATTTTCAGTTTTACCTCTTGTTCATCTCCATTGTAAAAAGATTTGCACCGGAATGTGCATTCATATATGCTATGATTCTTGTGCAGGTCTTTTGGGCATTTTCTTTATATTTGGAGGCAGTTGCAATTCTTCCCCAGTTAGTGTTGCTGCAGAGAAGCGGGAATGTAGACAACTTAACAGGACAATATGTTTTCTTTCTTGGGTATTGCATTTGACATTTCTTTAGTTGCTTGACCTCTGTTTTGAAGTGAATAATATTGTGGTAGCCACTGCGTTTTGGGTAGTGTTGCAATTTGATTAAAATGTTACCATGGAATTTATTCTAATGTTTTATCACAGTTGTTTGGGTATTGAGTTGTCTCACATGGCGTAAGTGTAGTTCATATTTTGTTTAACTTGATAATTAGCCTTGTAAGTAGGGTTATTATATTATTAATTTGATTTGCGAAATAATTTCATTTAATAAATCAGTTCCCCTGTGTTAGTTAATCTGATGTAATTGATCATTGTGAAGATACCATAATACTTGCATAGTTTTAGTTGGTGTAAATGTAGATCTAAAAGAGGTCAAGTATGTACTTTGCCCTGTGATTTTGTTATTTTATGTTCCTTTTTGTATTTTCAAAATTTCTTATTTTTTTCCCAGGTATCCTTCTTTATTTCGTAAATCTTATCTTTTCTGATTTTGGACTATTAGCCAAGTTACGCTTTTTGGCCAATCCTAAACACTTAAATTCACTAGATGAATCCCATATGGTAAGACTTTGAGATGGATGGAGCTAGTTATCTAGGGATTATAACTGTTTCATTTAGGGCATCATTGCAGCTTCATTTTGTTGTCCTTTTCCAATTTGGACACAAGATGACATGGATAACTTTTTTCTTGTAAGATACATTTACTCTGAATTCTTTGGAGTTTATAGTAGTTTCTTTGAATGAGTTTCAGCTGGATGCGGTGGCAATCTTGTGTTCATCCCCTAGTCCCTCAAGAAATCTTAGTTTCATTATTGAAAGGAAAGAGGAAGAGATGAAGCATTTGGTGGGTTTTCAGCAGTCCTATTGGGATTGTTGATTCCACGAAGGTTGAGGTTCTAGCAGTGCTTACAGGATTCGGAATAGCCAAAGTGAAGGGTTTGACTGCTCTAGCCATTAAAGAGGATTCTATTAACACTATAAAATGGCTAGGGGAGAGGGACAGTGGACCTTTGAGATTGGCTC